AATTTCAGATTCAAGATAGTGGTTAACCCTGGAGGGAGTAGATGTAATTGGGGAGGTACACCCAGGCGGCTCCTAAGATATTGGTAGTATTCTATTTCTTAACCCAGGTGTGGGCACATTGGTATTTTACATACATTTCTATTGTATTCAGGTATTTCCCCAAAAAAAGACACTAAAAAATATACAGAATATGAAACACGTAACATAAAATGGTAATATACCTTGATATACATACAGTGAAATACATTTAATTAAATTGTACACACAATCAAGAAACAAGGAAAGCAGCCTGGGACCCCGTCAATGAAAAAACCTGGCCTTCTAAGATGTTGTATTCAGATCTACAGCATCTTTCCTGATCTGTCCCATGATGCAATGCTAAGAAGGGAAAGCCAGCTACATAATCCTAAAGTGATGACCTGTTTGACTATCGGGAGAGAGCTTAGATTAAAATCCCTAGCTAGTTAGATATTAAGACAAGGCATCACAAAGCTGAGAAAGCTCTAATGGTTAAGTTGTAGTGACTTCTTACCGATGCTGGTCTAAAAACCCAGACCTGTAAGCAGTAGTGCTCAAAAGTGTTGGCTTCAATCCTTGGGGACTGAAGCTGGTCGGGGACGAGCCCCCAGGCTCTGCTTTTACGGAGCCATTGTGACTTTATTCATTTTACGTATGCCTTTGATAGGATTTTGTTGGAAGGGTTCCACCTGTCAGTATGAACAGCATTGTCTTAGCGGAATCCTAGCTTTCTGGAGTTGGGAAAAGAATGCAAATCTCCTTTCTCAACTCTGTATAAATGCAGAGGTGACCAAAATGTGCACCCAGTAAGCCATGTGCACTGCAGCAATCGTAAGATAGCTGGCTTTCTTTCCTCTTTTGTCCTCATTCCATTGTCTTGGGAAATACCCAATGGCTCTAGAAGAGCAGTAAGAACAGGAGTCAAGCTGATGAGCAAAATCTAGCCAAACCCAATCCACGGATCCATGCATCTTATCATTTACGTTGCATGGTCTCCCAACTAAGAAACTATTTGAGTCAACCCCAACTATCCCTTAATCATTAGCACTAAACGTGAGAAGAAATATACTGGTGTCTGTAGGGTCATCAATACTTGGAAAGATGTGATTTCATTTTGGTAAGTATTAGGTTATCAAATTTGTCTCCTCTGAAGGCTCCTGGAGTTGGCAAATGGAGCAAATCTCCAGCAGATAGCAAATGAACTTCTGCCAACCTCAGCAGAAACAGCTTTAACCCACCCGTTCTCCTGCCACACCTACCTAACTTGCCAGGGTTTTGCTGGAAAGGTCAAGCAGCCAGTCTGTCCCAGAACATAATGACTGGTTACTGTTCTCTTGTATACCAGCCCTGAACAATTGGTGTGTGGGCTGGTCCTCTCTGAGACACGGTATTTGATACTGTGCTAATTGGGTGGCTAGAAGAAAAAAGGAATGCATTTTAAAGTGGCTCCTTAGAATTTTTTCTACAGCTGTGCCAAATATACATCTTGGCTGAATGATTATTAAAATTCTGTATTGGTCACGGCCAAACATCACTATAAGAGAACTGGTTGTTTGGGACACAGGAATGAGTGTGAAATCTAGCCAGAAAAAAAAAAAAAAAACAAACAAACCCAAAAAACAACTTTATTCAAACTGTCATAATTTTCCAAAGTTTGACATTAGGCAGGAATGGAACTTTCTTAGCACCATCAGTTGATTTACTGTTCCTATGGCATCTGCACATTTGTAATACTAAGTAATGCTCATTTTTACCTGAGGTTGATGGAAGAGAATGTTGTCTTGTGGCTGCCTGTACCACTGAATATTATGTTCTAATAGTAAGATAGTGACTTAGGCCCATCTTCCTTAGTTCCTAGACTTTAAAAAATCTGCTTGATGATTCGGTTGTACACAATCCCTCTATCTCAAGCTTTGTGTACTGCAAGATGCGTTCTATTTTCAGAAGCACTTAAGATTTTTGCCATACTATTTCCAATCTTTTGCATGCCTATTTCAAAATTCCTAAAAACTTTTAAGCTTAAAGTTCTTTCAAAAAAAAAATTCTTTCAAACTTATCTAGATAACATCTATTTTTCTACTTATTGCTTAAACTTTTTGATTACAGAAGTGTTCAAAACTAACCGAAGTGCTTTCATCCTGTAACATATATACTTCAAATAACCGACAAAGTGACATAATCTGCACAACTAAAATGCTTACCTGTATTTGAAATTGATATATGCAAGAAATCCAAATGCCACGTTTGAACTACACAGCAGCCATCGTGATCAGTTAAACAGCAGTCATCTCTGTGACCACCCAATTGTTTATCATGCACTGATTCAGGGATGCCAGGAAGTTTCATTTCATTGGTCTTGGGATGTGGTTCAAAGCACTGATATCACGTCTTCATTTTTATTCATCTGAAGCTGACATAGCAATCCACCAGGGGTGAATGAAAATCGATTTTTGCCTATGCTCAGACAAGTTTTCCCAAGTTCCTTTTTTGTGGCCATTGATGTAAATCTTAGAAATATCCTTCAATATCTTTCAGCTGCTTACTGAATGCTCATTATGTATAAGCCATGTATTAGGCACCTTATATGGGTTTTCAATCTTCACAATCCAGTCAGTATTCATAGTTCTCTATTTTGCAGGTGAGGAAAGCAAAGCCTGGGGTGTCCTATTCTGGTCTAGGTTGATGCGTACATCTGATGTACAGAACTGAAAAAAACCCAAATCACGATCCCTGCAGATTCCAGCTAGCTGGTTTGCAAGACTGAACGAACTTTGGGTCTGTCTTTTCCAAAGATGTGGGGAAATGGGCACATTGGGCTTCAAACCTTTTATTTATTTACTTATTTTTTAAAGATTTATTCATTAGAGAGAGAGAGAGAGAGAGAGAGAGAGAGAGAGAGAGAGAGAGAGAGAGAGAGGGGCACAGAGGGAGAAGCAGGCTCCATGCAGGGAGCCCGACATGGGACTTGATCCCGGGACCCCAGGATCACGCTCCGGGCCGAAGGCGACGCTAAACCACTGAGCCACCCGGGCTGCCCGCTTCAAACCTTTTAATCTACATTTTGGAAGAACTCGTCTTGCCCACTCTGCCTCAGTTTGCCAGCTATTATCTTATCTTCACTTCCCAGCAGTTTCCTTTCAACCTTCCATCATAGTTCCACAGTAGAAAAACTCAGGTGATCTTTCCTTCCCTCAATCTGAATTCTGCGCCTTCTTCATGACTCAACACTCAATCTTATTTGTTTCTAATTCCCATGTCCCATATTCCATTTATGTATCTGTAACTATGAAGTATGCCATGTCTGCATCTCTGTGGTTCATTGTAGCTAGACACAGGCGGGCCTAGTCAAGTAAGTACAAACCAGTGATTGCAAAAGATAGGTTTCAACTATATTATACAGACTATTTAGCTACATAAGGATAGCTATCATCCTTCTAAAGGTGTTGTACTGGTGCAGTCATCTTGAGAGCAAGAATACTCAAAAAAAAAAAAATCACACAGAAGAAAACTAGAATTTAAAATATTACATTCAACAACTGCATGTTTCCTGGTTGTTTCTTTTGTATCTGAAAATATCTATCAGTGTTTTATGTGCGGTTAGCGCTCACAAGTACTTGGCTTGGCTGTCCATGGCTTAGTATCAGGTCATTACAGGCTATGTATAATAGGTAGGTGCTTAGTACATTAAGAGAATTTAGATATTCAACCACATGAAACAACTGAGATTAATGATAAAGTAACAAATAGTGAATAATACTATTATGAGTCAAGCATTACTCTGAGCATACTACATCGTTTCATTCAAGAGTCACAATGAGGCAGGTGCTTTCTAAGAGACACTGTGGCTTGGCATTTAAGTCACACTCAAATCACACAGCCAGGAAAGGAGCCATGACCTGGATGGAATGTAGCCAATGGCAGATGTGACCAGATGCACATGAAGAGAAATTACATGTGAGAATGTAAGGTTAGTGCAGAATGGGATTTATAAGGGAAGGCGCCAAGTTCTTTGGTCATATACTAGTTTCAAATAATTAGCGTCTAAGATCGCATGTCCTAAAACAAAGGTTGATTTTGTTTCCTACTTACCTGGTGCTGTGTCCTTTCTCAAAGAATTTTAATCAAGCTACCACTCCACGTTCTATAACCTGGGTAAAGAGGCCCAATTTTATTAACTATAGAATTCTGAAATCCTAGAAGTGACACAACTGATAATGTCCAGGGCACAGATTAAGGACACACGAAATCTGCCTTTAACATAATCAAATGCTACTCATCTTTCTTCCTATAGTTAAAGAGGTCTGGGAGAATATGATAAAGTAAAATAATACAAGTTTGGATTTGTCACAATGTGGAATAAGAAGGCCCAAGAGGTCAGGGGGTCCAACCTCTCTGGCTGACAGGAGCATGCTGGAAGGGAAGTTGTGGCCAACGCCTCAGGACCAGAGACTATTAGTGCAGATGGGAGGCTAAACCCCAGCAGCCGGGTGCTTTTCTATCAACATGCCATCACTAGCTCAAACAGTCCCTTACTAGGAGGACTTCCTCCTATTCCCTGAGGGAAACCAGGTTTTGATAATAGAAAGTGCTTTGCAAATGACATGCTCTTTGCCCACTTTTAATGTACTGTAAGAAATTAATATGCACTTCACAAAATTGAGACACATGTAGTATGATACAACACTGTGTTCCATACAAATTGGGGAATAGAGAACAAAGAACTGTGCATGCAAATACTGGTGGGTTGAGTCCGAAAAAGAAGTTGTTCAAGTGAACCCAGACCATCAGATGCAGGTGCAGGTGACATGGCAGCTCAGCCCCACATCTCCTAAACAGCAGGGGAGGACAGCTCAATCTCATCACCCTACTTCAGAAACGTAGTTACATCCAGGTTAGACCTCCACAAACATGAGCATCCATATTATAGTCCATCTTTGGAAAACAGACTATTTGAAGGAAAACAAATCCAAATTGAAACTGTGTGGTTTCCAGAGCAATTTATTCGTTAAAATCTATTCAATATGCCATCAACAGTTCTCCTGTGTGTATTGTGCTGATAAATAGACACTGAGAGGATTTAACAAGTTCGTCGTTTAATAAGTCTGAATTCATTTTCACCACATGGTATTGTATACATGGTCATCTGTTGAAACAGATTTCTTTTTAACAGATCTTAGTTTAAAAAAGTCATAGATTCTGTGAGTTCTGTATAAACTGGTGGATAGTAAGTTATTTCCTTTGTTTTGACTTATAAGCCTCAACTTCACCGCAGAATAAAGAATGTAGGCCAAAGAAAGCATAATCGGTCACTCGTATAGAACAGTATTGTTTCTATAATTTGAAGCTTTCTGAAAGGACGGGTTCAGGCCTGATGTAACTGTAAAAAGATTACTTAATGAATAGACTATATGGAAATTGTACAAAATGTTATTAACTTTAATCATTAATACCTTAAATAGCACTATGTTACTAATTGCTATTCAAAACCAAAAACCTGTTTTTGAATCCCTAAGAAGGTAGCATGTGTGCACAACCATGTACACAACCTTGTACTTAGGGGTGTGTCAATACATATTTCAACAGAAACTTTGGCTTTAGGAAAGAGTCACAAACATTTAAAATAATGGCTTTAATCGTCATTTTGAGTATACGTTAAGGGAAAGTGTGCTTTAATTAAATATACATCATACCAGTGATGCTGGCAAGGTTGAGTTAATCCTAATGTTGATAGCTATAAAAACTAGTTTGTACATGACAAGACAATGAGAGAAAAAAGCAATCCCTTTGAAACAAAATTAAAAAAAAATGTTCACAGTGGTTTGTAATCAACAGTATGCACTTTATGACAATAACATGTACAGATTGAGCACCCTAGGGCTCTCTTTATATCCTAAAGAAAACGAGCATTTACATTATTCATGGGTTGAACTGAATTTTAAAAAGATCAATTGTACACTTACCCCTTATACAGGATAAACTGTCCTGGGGTGTACAGCGTTAACACCATCATTAAAGTTGTTTGCAAAAGGAATACAGAATTAAAAAAACAAAATATTTTTTCTTGGGAGTGGAGAATCTTTCATTTGCTGTTATAACCAGCAAATGCCATTCATTAACTCAAAAAATGGAAGAGGGGACCCCACAAACACATTATTTGAGCAAGCTGACCAATACACATTACAGTTTTAAAAATGAAGGTTATATACTCTATGTTACAAGTCCCAACTAGGCAGTGTCAAAATGACATCTATTTCTTTGCTTGCTTTGTGATCATACCCCTTGGAGGTGTTACAGGTCTTGTGGCATTCGGCTTCTTTTTCTCTGCAGGCTTTAAAATCTGCAAAGATTAAAAGATAGTGCAATTTTAAGAAATAGTCTCAACTCAAAATCTTAAGATTTCTCACTCAAATCTTTTGTTTAGAAAGGTTTCTGATTGTTTAAAACAGACCCAAGAACTCTCAAAGTCCCACTAACATATTAACAAACCAAGCTAACATGTACACATTTTGGTAATAAATGCTATGACAAACAGGTGAAATACATGGACAAATTATTTGGCCTCTGGATAAAATGACAATTTTCTGAAGTCAGATCTTGTAGTATCTCTAGAGCAGTGTTTTTCAAACCCATAGGGAGCCCTCTCACAATCGCTGGGAGTTGCAAGTTTTCCCTGATAGTTGGTAAAACAACATTTAATTGACTCCAGTGGCTTTATGATTATGATTGGGCTAGCTTGAAATTGTACAAATTTAATCATAAGAGAATGAGAAAAAGATTCAGACAGACTTTACGTGTAAATGACACTTTTGTGCCAAGTGAGGGCCAAATAAATGATGTCACGGTGAATCAACGAGTCTTATAGAAATTACAAAGAAGTGGTGGGAAAACAGAGTAATCACACAGCACATCTGGCACGTGGCAGTTAGTTCTACTCTAATTTTAGCTGAACATTACACTGACATTTTAAGTTTTAGATTTATAGTAAAAGAACTATAAGCACAAGAAGCCAATAAACTTTTTTTTACCCCACTTAAATAATGTAAAAACAGTTAAATTCAACATGGCAGCTAAGGTTCTCTGACAATCCCCCCCCCCCCCCAAAAAGCAGTTCACTCATTACTGAATTAGAACTAACACTTGTATGGGAAAATAAAAACTTAAGTCTACTCAACATAGATGAACAGTAGGCAGAAAACAGCAATTTCTAAAAAAGTCAGTAAAATTCAGCCTTAACAGTAGGAAACAATGTTGAAAGCATCATCTACCTGAAAAGAACACATTAGAGTTTCGTCCACACTCATCATGGCACCTGCATTGTCAAACTCTCCACAATAATTGGGTGCAGAAAACAGAGTGACCAACTGCCTCTTTGCAAAAAATTCATATCCATCTTCAACCACCTTGGAGAGAAAACGTTTTCAGTATAAGTAGGTGTAAACTGCAGGTGAGCAAAACTACTTTTCAGTTTCCCATTGAGTCTGATATCCTATAGGTCACTTGCAGAGACATTTTGTATGAATAAGCAATACCTACCCACTAAAATCAACAAGGAGAATCTGTGCTCACACACATGCTCTTAAGTGTACATGTAAAATTCAAAATCAATACCTGATGGGCTCTACATATAAGATCCAAATCATGCTTATGGAGAAATTTTGCAACCACTTCTGCACCAAATGTGAAGGACACTCCTCTGTCATTTTCACCCCAGCCTAAGACATCTTTATCGGGGTCAGACCACAAAAGATCACAAAGAAGACCTTGATCTGGTACATCAGTTGGTCGCATAATTCGCCGAATCTGCTCCATAGATTGAAGATCTGGTGATAAACCTATTAAGTGGGGGGGGAAAAAAAGAGGAAGAAAAAAGAACTTTAATATTCCATTTGCTTACAGAGATACTCCATGAGTCTAACATGGAAAGCTTAAACCTATGGCTATATTTTATTAAGCTTTGGTTAGAAAAACAACTTTGAAAAAGCAATGCAATTTATCATATGCACCAATCTACAAGGCACAGTATGCTTAAACGGTATATGGAATCAGTTACCTCAACATACAGAGCTCTATAAAATTAAAATCTAGTGATTTATTAGACAACCACTCCTCAATTCCTTTGATGATAATAATGAACAATTGTACATTCTAGATTGCCAACCATTTGTAATGACTGGGTGTAGAGGGTGCAGATACTCAGGTGTGATGTAGCTTTCTAGGAAATCTGTGCTGTCCAAGGACCATCAAGTCTATCAGACCAGCTCAGATGCAGCTGACTTTCAACTGAATTTAAAATCACATGCCCAGGGATGCCTGGCTGGCTCACTGGGTGGAGCATGCAAATCCTGATCTTGGTGTTTTAAGTTTTTACTTAAAAAAAAAAAAAAAAAAAAAAAAAAAAAAATCACATGCCCAGCTCTACCAAACCAGTTGAAATACAGGAGGGCAGGGATAACTGCTTTATTAAAATACATTCGTCGTATTGGCTCTTTGACAGTTGTCTAATTTCCGACCACAGGCAACAAGAAATCCTTTTCGCAATTACTATCTTAATTAATTATGTCATACAAAGCACAACCACTGAGAAAAATAAATCACTTTTAAAATCCAAGTCAGAAAAATTTCTGAAAGGAGAGGATGAAAAAACAGATCAAGGAAAGTCTACTCACATTTTTAGTATTCTGGAGGATCTAGGATACAGCACATTAATTGCTCTTCATTTTATATTTAAAAACACTTTCTGCTCTATTTTTAAGTCAAACTGTTACAGAGCCTAGAATTCCCTGTAACAAATCAATTTCTTACTTTAGATTTCTATCCAAATGATCCTGGATGCACCAGAGTGGACCCATGATGTAGCACATCAATAAAAGAGAACCCTGACAGAGAAGTCATCCCAATGACAACTCATAAATGTCAAAGTGTATATACCCTTCAGAAGGGAACAAAATCTATCTGGAACTAAAATCAGCCCACATACCTCCATGACAGCAGAATATCTTCTCATCCACGATGGCTGCTATCGGTAAACAGTTAAAGCAGTCTGTGAAAGTTTTCCATAGTTTAATGTTATATCTTCTTTTACCTGTGAAAATTTCAGGGTGGTTAAAAAGAGACTGGTGTTCTGCAGGTTCTCTCAGGACAACTTCTCCCAAAATAAGGGGCTAATTACTTCTTAAGTAATCAAGAACTATGCTTTTATTAAAAATTCCCTGAAGGGTAGGTTTAACAGAACTAGATCTACTTTAAAATCCCATAGAGGTTTGAAATCAGAATCCCAAAGGTAATAACTAAGGATTATCATTAACCCCCAATCATCATTTGGTAGCACCAACTCTGGAATCTAAGTTGTCTGTTTTGTCCAATCTCAACCCACAGGCAATTATGAACAGCTTACACATGTGCCATTACCATCTTCCTTCTGAAGAAGCTTCATAAAATTAACACTCATTCCATCTCCCACTATCAATAGCCCACTGGTACCAGATTAACTCCTAGCCCTACACTCTCTAGAAGGTACAAACGAGTATAAAGGAATACAGATTGCTTACTGCAGACACTCCAGGATAACTTCCTAACACTGCCATAAATGCTCAGAATGTCCCCCAGAGAAACAATGTTATAGGGTGGTTATATTTCCCTTACCAGCCCCTATATTCCCTGCATTCTGGAGTCATAGTGTGATTTAGACAAAAGCAGGACTCTAAGGTACTGTTTTCACTTATGTTCTGAGTTAAAAACCTACTCATAAATTCTGGAAGCACAAATCTGTCTGAATTGGGTTGAGAATGGCCCAATTGTTGGGTGCCTTGTCTCCTGTACGCTCTGTACCAGAAAAATCAAAGATCAAAGCACAATCTTCATTCCTAAATCCAAGTTTGTCCTTCGACTCCTCTCCTTTCTTATTCTAGGGACATCTACAGGTTTAAAGCTCAATCTCTTAGGAAGTCCATCAGTCCATCCTGCTGGCCCAAGCAGCAGGATCCTGAACAACACCTTCCACTCTACTGCCAATCAGCTGGGTATGGAATTTAGCACAGAGTTTGGAATGTAATACAAATTCAAAAAAAACTTGACTTCTACCTCTGTGGAGGAAGACTTTCTTTCTTACTAATAATTCGTATTTTTCTATGACTGGGTATAACTCTCACCATGGTTCACCCTGTTTTGTACTTCTTTGGAGGTCAATAATTCACTAATTCCTTATCTTTCTTCACTGAAGGGTTCTGGAAACCAAACAGCATTCCTCTCTATAAAAGGCTGAAAGGGAACCTGTACACAATCACCACCTCCAATTTTCCAACAATGATAAATAAAATAACAAGGCTGGGCTAATCCTAACCTCCATTCATAAAAGTGATTTGGTTCCATCTCCCATTTTCCACAGAAGCTTATCTCTGGAAGACCATCCAATGGCTAAGGACTCGCTTGGATTCTTCCTTTGCCTACATGTTTCATTTGCCAGTGCTGATGAATCCTCTTCCTTCTTGAAGTCTGTCTGCTTTGCTCCCTGATTCTTTACTAATGCAATACACTCCAGCTTGTCTTGCCGATTCCTCTATCTTTATTGGCTCCTTCAACAAAAAGTAGGATTTTTCCTCCTGTTGCCTCTGAACTTCTTTTTCTTTTCTTTTTTCTTTTCTTTTCTTTCCTCTCTCCCTCCCTCCCTTCCAGACACACACACACACACACACACACACACACACACACACACAGAGGCAGAGACACAGGCAGAGGGAGAAGCAGGCTCCACAGAGAACCTGACGTGGGACTCGATTCAATCCAAGATCTCCAGAATCACGCCCTGGGCTACAGGCGGCGCTAAACTGCTGCGCCACAGAGGCTGCCCTCTGAGCTTCTTAATTAAGTCCTAGAGTCCTGCTTTCTGTACTCTCTACACTTCCTCCCCAAGGCCACTTCAGACCAGAAGGAACATCTGGCTCCAGAAAGGTTTAGTCTGGATAACTGCCAAGATCTTTTCAAACTTCCAAATCCAGGGATTCTGAGCCAGATCCCCTAATGCAGTTTCCTATTACTACAGATCAGACAGCTCTGGTTATCAGAAAAGGATAATACATATTCACATTTTTTTCTAACAGATACTCCAGCTTTTCTAGGACTACGTTTTTATTTTTGTTTTGTTTTGTTTTTAAAGATTTTATTCATTTGACAAAGAGAATGCAACGCCTGTGCACACATAAGCAGGGGAAGGAACAGCAGAGGGAGAAACAGGCTCTCCACCAAGTAAGGAACCTAACGCAGGGCTCAATCCCAGGACTGTGGCACATGACCCAAGCTGAAGGCAGACACTTAAGTGCCCCCCAGGACTGCACTCTTTATATAAAGTTGGGGTGGGGGCAGAGAGAGAAACTGTAGTACAGAAGAGAGCGTGTTATACTTGTGAAATAAGCTTATCACTTAAAGCAGTGGTTTTAAATTGTTCCATGAAAATCTACATTTTAATAAAGCTTTTCATTATAAATTAAAATTTTAATTATCAACAGTTTTTTTGAAGTCTATAAACCATTAATCGAAAGCCATTTCTGTCAAGATGCCTTTCTCCCCACAAGTAGATTGTATGGCAAGTTATACCTGCCTGATGGGGGTGAAGGGAGCTTGAGCAGAAGGTTAATCAGTAAGTCTTGATGACCAAACAAGAAAGAACCAATGCTGACCATCTAAAATAATTTTTAAAGTTTCCTGCATTAAAAAGAAGCTGAATACAATGTTGTGAATATCCTCACACTTGGATATATGTCACAACAAAGAGATCATCTGGATTTGAGCTTCATCAATGAAAACATCAACGTACTTGCTAAACAGTGTATAAAAGGAACCTGCTCTAAAAAGTAGCATCTATAGCAAGTATCCAAAACACAATTTATAGGGGTACCTGGGTGGCTCAGTGGTTGAGGATCTGCCTTCAGTTCAGGTCGTGATCCTGGTGTCCTGGGATCGAGTCCCACATCAGGCTCCCTATAGGGAGCCTGCTTCTCCCTCTACCTATGTCTCTGCCCCTCTGTGACTCTCATGAGTAAATAAATCTTAAAAAAAACACCCCCCCCCCCCATTTATAAAACTTGTTGCCTCTCATTTCACTACCTTAGGAGTAATAACTGCTTTACTGGTACTTCTGATAGACTCATTGTCAAAAATCAAATCTTCCTTGAGGCACCTGGCTGGCTCAGTTGGTAGAACATCTGACTCTTGATCTTGGGGTGGTGAGTTCAAGCCCCACATTGTATACGGGGATTACTTAAAAACAACAACAACAAAAACAACAACAAAAACCTTTCTGGCCACAGACTCAATTGCCCTAGTCAGTTCAGAACCCACCAGATTTTTCTTTGGTGATCCCTTCCCATCTCATCTTACCAGCTGGGTGTTAGGGCCTTAGACAAGGCAAACATACAACTGGCAGAGGGTGAGATTAAGAGAGTGAAGTCTAGAAATAAAATCTTTCTAGTAGTGCACGTCTAACAAATGATCTAGCTGAACACATCTATATGGAACAGAGATGGAAAAACAGCACACTACAGGTTATGACTATAGTCTAGGGGAGGACCACAGGGACAATTCTTAACTGGTCTTATTATCATCACTGGCAAATGCAGTAGCTTGACTGAATTCCTTAACCACCTCTCTCCTCCCAGCCCAAAGCTCCTGCTAGCAGAAATGGTAAGCACAAAAGAAGGGTAAGGGTAAGGACTCAAACCCTTTTCTTTAAACATTTTATACTTATTAAACAACACTACAAAAACAAAATTCCACCCAAACTGGCAATTTTTAAAGCTTTAAGAATCTTCAGTTTTTTTTGGCAACTACCAACCCAAAGTGCACAACTAAACAATCCAAAATGGGTTGTAATATGTATAAAATAGTATACAAATGATTTTTTCGTTTTATAATTTTGCTTTCTCCTTTCAGCACATTTTAGGACAGTAACTGCTATTTGTCCTGGGTACACATGTGCCAGAAAGAAAAACAAAAACAAAACAAATCACAAAATTAAAAAAAACAGTTATTTATATATTTCCAGATATCATTTACATGAAATTATCTAGAAATCTACAGACAGAAAACAGGTTAGTGTTTCCCTGGGGCTGTGGTGATAGTTGCACAACCCCATAAATTTACTAAAAATCACTGAACTGTACACTTAGATTTTATGGAATGAAATTATATCTCAATAAAGTTGTTAAAAACAGATTTGGACAGGTTCTCAGAGTTGTACTAAAAATTAAGTTCAACAAAGATATTAAAGAAGCCACTGGGGGGTGGGGGTGAATGGGTGACGGGCACGGAGGGGGACACTTGACGGGATGAGCACTGGGTGTTATTCTGTATGTTGGTAAATTGAACACCAATAAAAATTAATTTATAAAAAAAAAAAAAAAAGAAGCCACCACTGCAATCATTACTTCTTTTTTTTTTTTTTACTTATGATAGAGAGAGAGCGAGAGAGAGAGAGGCAGAGACACAGGCAGAGGGAGAAGCAGGCTCCATGCACCGGGAGCCTGACGTGGGATTCGATCCCGGGTCTCCAGGATCGCGCCCTGGGCCAAAGGCAGGCGCCAAACCACTGCGCCACCCAGGGATCCCCAATCATTACTTCTTAATCAAATAGTCACATCATAAAAGAATCTAAGGCATTATTATATATTCACCGCAGTGGCAGTGTTATTTTTCTAACCTAAGAAAAAACAAGTTTATGAAATAGAAAACGACAGATTAAACATTTTATCTAAATGCTCATGAATCCTAACAAAATATTTGCCGTTTTACGATCAAGTATTCCAGTTTGAGGAAATCTTTCTTAGATGTAGAAAGTACTTACATTCATCGTAAAATCCATAAATTCTATTGATGCTGGCACATTCATGGTTTCCTCTGAGAAGAAAAAAATTCTCGGGATATTTGATTTTGTAAGCCAGTAAGAGGCAGATAGTCTCCAATGACTGCTTCCCCCTGTCCACATAGTCCCCAAGAAACAGGTAGTTGCTTTCTGGCGGGAAACCACCGTACTCGAAAAGTCGAAGCAAATCATAGTATTGCCCATGGATATCACCTAGAAGCAAGAGTTCTGTTACACAGTGCCCTCATACTTATTGTTTAATCCACCAAAAAAATTCTGGAGACATTTTTTAAACATACACTGCATAACGGGATTGACCTCTAATAATGAAGAGTTAAATTTGACGGCTAACACTAATTTCCAATCTTCTATTTTAGTTCAATTCAGCTTAATAACAATTTTAAGCATATGTTTATGTCCAGAATCTCACAGACAACTCAGTTAATTAAGAATTAATTTTGTGGAAAGGATTATTAATGCCCAGGTAGGCCTTCTTGCTAAGTTACATCGCTTTCCTTTCAGGTTGGTTGATCAATATCAGATCTCTGGCAGCTCAGTCTGCAGGTTCTGTGTCAGTAGAACTGCTGCACTGCTAGTGTGCCCCAGACCTATGTGAACAAAGGTACACACACCACACGCCCAAATTCATTCAGCTCTCAATATCTCCCTGCTATATAATGCCACAGAGCATTTTACTTTAAAAATAAACATATGTTATCAATGTAGTTAAATATGCTAAAATATTTAGCATTACTCAGATGAATTTCAATTTTATAGATTATCTCTATCATGTAGAAACAGACTACAAAACAGTATCAAAGGAGGTCTATTTTTTAAGCATAATGTCCTGCTTTAAGTGTAAATGTAATTCACATATATTTATATAGTTCAGACCTTTTCTTAGCTCTCCATTCAGTGTCGTTTCTTTCTGATGCAATGTTTATATTACTTTAGTGAAATAGTTTTTAGAAAATCTGAAGCACATCTAGGTAAACTAAGTCCATTAGAAATATTTATTCTAAAGTTAAAATTATTTAATTTTAAGTAGTCCCAGGTTAGTCCCAGGTTATTTGTAAATAGCAAACAATTCTGCTGGCTAATACAAGGACATCTATATATCCTCAAGTCACTCAATCAATTGCATAACCAAAGGCAACTGTTCATGCGCCAAAACCTACCACATATTTTGAGTGGTGCTTCAAGTTCTAGTAGGATAGGCTGACTGAGAAAGATCTCTCGGGACTTTAAGCACAGTCCTCGGATTTCATTCTCCTGTAGCTGGACATTCTTACCAGGCTTGGACCCTCTCACTGTAGGGAGAAAAACTCCAGTTAGTCAAATGAAGTCAAGATACAATTTAACATAAAAATTATCTAAAAAGGCACAAGTTTTAATAAGGAGGAGGCAAAAACAGTTTAACTGGCCTGACTTTATTTTTGTAACACTTCTAAAGAATATGGTTTTAATGCCTAATTATAATTGTAAAATCTTAGATAGGATTTTATTTAGTTGCATCTTCTATAGCAAATTAAGACTTCTTACAGTATCCTGAACAAAGGGCCACACACTGTGTATGAATATTGTTAGAAAGGCATTCTTTTGCTACTTGCTGAAATCAGACCTGCTGTGGCTCAGCCCAAGGCCTCAGTTTTGCATCCAAGCCACACAATCGGCCTTGTTCACCTATAGCCTGCCCACCAGACCTTCTCTTTCTGCCCCTAATCTTGTCTACTCTTCTCCAGCCTTATAAATGAATTAGTAGGGGGATCCCTGAGTGGCTCAGTGGTTTGGCGCCTGCCTTTGGCCCAGGGCGCGATCCTGGAGTCCTGGGATAGAGTCCCACATCGGGCTCCCTGCATGGAGCCTGCTTCTCCCTCCTCCTGTGTCTCTGCCCCTCCCCCCCATCATAAATAAATAAATAAATCTTTAGAAAAATAAATCAATTAATTAGTAATTGTAGAATAGATTTCAGAGATTGTCATGTTACTGAGTTGATTCTATGGATTCTTGTTTTATTTTTTTAAAGCAGAGTTTTTTTTTTTTTTTTTTTTTTTTTAATGATAGTCACACACACAGAGAGAGAGAGAGAGAGAGGCCGAGACACAGGCAGAGGGAGAAGCAGGCTCCATGCACCGGGAGCCTGACGTGGGATTCAATCCTGGGTCTCCAGGATCGCGCCCTGGGCCAAAGGCAGGCACCAAACCGCTGAGCCACCCAGGGATCCCTGGATTCTTGCTTTAAAATGTGAGATTGCGGGACGCCTGGGTTGCTCAGCAGTTGAGCATCTGCCTTTGGCTCAGGACGTGATCCTGGAGTTCCCAGATCGAGTCCCACATTGGGCTCCTGCATGAAGTCTGCTTCTCCTCCTGCCTTTTTCTCTCATGAAAAACAAACAAACAAACAAACAAACAAACAAACAAACAAACAAAGTGAGATTGGAAGGGCACCTGGGTGACTCAGTTAAGTGTCAACAATAAAAAAAAAAGACTTTATTTATTCATGAGAGAAACAGAGAGAGGCAGAGGTGCAGAAACATGGAGAATCAGTTTCCTCACAGGGAGCCCGATGTGGGACCTGATCCCAGGATCCCGGGATCACGTCCTGAGCTGAAGGCAGAGCTCAACTGCTAAGCCACCCAGGTGTTCCTAAGTGTCTGACTCTTGATTTCAGCTCAGGTTGTGATCTCAGGGTCATGTGACTGAGCTCCAGGCTCAGTGCAGAGTCTGCCTAAGATTCTCTCTTCCTCTCCCTCTGCCCACCCCCCTGCCACGTGTGTTATCTTTTTAAAAAAATTTAATAAAAAATAAAAAAGACTGAATGCTCAGAACCTTCCCCCGACCAGTGTTTTTCAGAGGATGATTGGTATTTCAAGAGTTCTCTGAAAAAATTTAAGTGTTGTTTGCATTTTATTGAAACACACTTTAGGCTCATTGTACATACTGTACATGTTTGCTCTGCGATCTCTGCGATTGCATCTGTGAATACGATTATGCCCTTAGAGGGCAAAGGATGTCAGTGAGTGCTATAAGAAAGGTTTCTTAGTAATCTGAACAGATACAAAACAAGAAATAGAAGAAATAAATATCGGTACAGCACTAGGTGTTGCCCACATCCGACCACGCTTGAGGTTTACTCCCTATCAAAGTAAAGCACTCCAGCCCTGTAACAGTTCATTTATCAGCAGGTAGGCAGGAAATGAAATTTTTTCTTTCTTTTTTTTTTTTAAAGATTTTATTTATTCTGAGAGTGAGAGCGTGCGAATGAACAAGCACGGGGAGTGGCAGGGGCATGCTCCTCAAGGAGGGAGAAGCAGGCTCCCAGAGGAGCAGGGAGACAGATGTGGAGCTAGATCCCAGACTCTGGATCATGACCTGAGCCTAAGGGAGATACTCAACCAACTGAGCCACTCAGGTGTCCCAAAATGAAACGTTCTGTTTTGATTCCAGTTGTAGCAGATTAGACAGTCACTAAGTACCGCTTAGCACTGAATTGCTAATATCTTAGCTTTACAGTTATGAGGTGGTCTGCTTGATGGTAAGGTATGGTTAAATACAGGCACTGATTATCTTCAACTTGTAATCAGTCTTACTTCTCATTTTGTATAAAAGATTTATAAAAGCAGACATTCTATGAATTAGAACTGAAGCAAAAACATAGGACCAGACTAAATATAGAATGTTAGGTTACATCCTTCCACCGTGAAACCTAATATAAAATGATTCTGTTTCAACAAAACCACAAAATCTATCAGATTAAATTATTGTTGATAATTTAAATTTTATCAGTTTTGGAGGCTTTATATTTAACTTACAAAATCATTCAGCTTAATAACTAAACAAATTCAAAGCAGTAAGTTTAACTGGTTTGTATCTAGCTTTGTTCTGTAAAAACCTTATTTTACAGAGTGATAAAAATTACAAATAAAAAACCTGATGCTTGTTGACAATTTTTCCTATTAAAAATGGCTGTGTCCATTTATTGTCTAAGGCAAAGTCATTCTTCAGCCTGAATAGCACCGAAACCCTGAGTTCTCTGAAGAAAAAGGTGTTTTGTTTTTTAAGATTTTATTTATTCATGAGAGACACAGAGGCAGAGACACAGGCAGGCTCCTCGTGGGGAGCCTGATGGGGGACTTGATCCCAGGATCATGACCTGAGCTGAAGGCAGATGCTCAACCACTGAGCCACCCAGGTGCCCCAAGAAAAAGGTTTTGAACAGAAACAGAACACTATGGATCCTTCAATGAAAGACAGTAAGCAAGAAAAGATGACAAGAGGAAAGGGCCAAACTCCTGAAGCACATAATAAAATGTTGAGAGAGCAGTGGAACTGGGAGCCAGCCCCAAGTTTCTGTACTGGTTTTATAGTCTTGAGCAAATCACTACTTTGGACCCCAAAATATGTAACTAAAGTAAACTATCATCAATCTCCTTCGAATCAAAATATTATGAAATGAGAAGCAACAAAGATGAAAGCAAAGTAATGATAATTTTTGAGGGAAGATATGAAACACATCTATAATACTACAGAGCAACTGAGCAATAAAAAAATGTTTTTTCCAGAACCACAGTAATTTTGTCTCCTAACACACAGCAGAGAATTCAAGAAACACTCCTGTCAGAAAAGACAGTAGGATTCCTGCTTCACTGGCCAGAAAACCCCAATCATTAGCAATTATACCACAAGCTTGGGCAGACTGCCCAGCAGGAAACTTTATTTTGGGCTAGGAGGGGACTCCTAGAAGCTTCTGGTTTTCAATCTCAATCTTTTTCAGCAGAGCCCCAAACTTGTCAATGAATAGTCCACTTTAAGTCTTTTAGGAGAGTATACAATAATTAATCTACACCTATATGTAACAAAGGCTGTACTTTTTATATGAATGCTATCATATTAAATCAATGCCATCAGATTAAATCAATGTTGCTAATATAAATTTTACCGGTTTTGGAGGTTTCCCACTACCACCTTTAGACAATAGTTTATGATAGTTTTCTTATTTTGTTTTCCTGTTGGTCCTCTGGAGTGTACAGGTAAGTAAAAAAGCAACATTGCTAACAAAAATTACTCTTAATGTGCAATAAGGATTACATGCGGTTTTTCTAGAACAAATCAAGATTTTGTACCTGAGGAACAGTGCTCATTAAATACAAAGCTTCTTAAATTCCCTACAATTAGCTCAAGCAATAAAATTATGAAAACAGACACCACCAACACCATCATCTACCAATTGGCAAATACCTGCTCATCCTTCAAGACTGCTTATATATTACTTTGCCCCGCAGAGCCTCTCCTATAAGCTTACTTTATGCTTTCTGAAATGCTTTCACAACACCTGGAAACTACTCAGGGCACACATACTTTGTATTGTAAATGCCATTTTGCTTCCACCTATTCATCTGGTCGCTCTGGTAGACTAAGTAAAACCCAAAACTACATGACTGGCTCTGCAGTGTACATGTCCATGGCCAGATGTGGCAGATGCTCAAAACTTGTGTGAATGAAATCTGGATAAATCTCCAAGTACTGATGACTTGTGATATTAGAATTAAACATGTATTCTGGACTACATTAGCAAAAAACCGGTGTCTGTGCTTTAAAATTAAAAAAGCAGTAGTGTCATTTTCCTATCAGCCTTTAATAGAGCATTTTTCTAGTTGCAAAAATTTAGGACTAATCTTAAATTTCAAGTTGAAGATGATTTGGCTAACAATTAGAAGATTTCAAAATGGGTATTAGCAGCCCCAAAACACTAGATATTTCGTAAAAATGGCCATATTGGCCAATAGCACATAAATCTACTTCACTATTTTCAACGTTCCATCCAATAGAATTACTTACAAGTTGTAGCTAACATTTATCAAGCACTCATCATGTGCTGGGCACTGCACTAGAGGGTTTTACATTGCCACTTAATCCTCACAACAATCCTATGAAGTTAGGCTCTGTCACTTCTGTTACAATCTGGGAGAGGTTCAGTGACTTGGTCCAAGGTCACAGAGCTTATAAGGACACCAGGCCCCACCGAACTCTAGGTCTAGTGGTGCTTCCACTATACTATTACCCTCCCAGCTAAGGATTTGTTCTTTACCAAAATCCTAATATATGGTCATTGCTTCCTAAGAAAATTCTGAGACAGGATAGAAAATCACAAAACATCCTTGCCAATGAGAAGCATTAAATCAGAACTAAATTAGGCAATCTGTTTAAGACTGTCAATACTTATTAACCATGCTTCAAACATTGAACAGAATAGTTGCAGAGTATCTACTATGTGCCAGACCCTCTGGACGCTGGGGATACCCTGGTAAACA